TCATCAGAACCTATTGACGAATAACAAGGGGACCAATGTAGGCTTAGTAGTACTCTTCTGGCTTGTTTGACCCGGACATTACTCCCAAAATTTTGCTTGGCCAATTTTCCGCGAACTGACTAACTTTAAGGAAATTGGGGGCCATTATAGTACTTTAATTCGTATATTATATATATGTTCCATACACCTTATAGAACATAACTTCTTATCCTTAGCTAACTACTTTAAACTACCTATAATTAGTTCCTGATTCCCTTCCTCTTTTCGTCTAGCTCAAGACTCAGCACTTCTATTGTACATCAATTTTTGCCACGCTGACATATAAATTTTGCAATATAATCAGTATATACTTGTGTTCTTTTACACTTTTGAGGGAGCCAATATTTGTGGGGCAAAAAGAAAATACGGGGGAGGGGATGCAATGCGCGGAAATTAATTCCACTACTTCGGTATATTATTTATTCATATAGACCGATGCATTCAATTTTTGTTTGAATGTCTCATTTAAAACGAAGCATAGTAGGGTTGTTAGCATCAAATAATTAATTTTATTGGAAAATTAATGTCTATCATTCATTAGTCTCTATTATCACTAGTATGGATTTACATTAAGGTACATCAGAATTTTTTTTTTGCATTTTCCGTCCTCACATTTTTTCTAAGATTAAATTTTTGCAACCAAGAAGCAGCAATTATTGCGTTTCATGAAACAGGAGCCCCTTTCTATTCTTCCTGAAATCAACCAGTAGTAGGCAAAGTATGTCAATTTTATGAATAAGAGCACTTATTCGTGAGAGTTTTGTGCTCAATCGTGTCGAATAAAGGAAGTCATTCATGATATAATACTTTTTGAAGTTATCTTGAACTCTAATCTGGTGCTTCCAACTTAATTAAATGAACAGACTAGAGTTCTGCTCGATTAGCACCAATAAATATTTCTTATATGTTGCAAATGTTACATTCTGCACCTTACATAATCACTTTATCCATATGTGGTGGGATTGGGGGATACGATCCCATTTTTGGTTTTTGCGGTAACAGGATCCGCAAAGAATAATTCTATATATGATCCGAAGTTTCCCTAAAATACTACTTGTTAGATTATGAATTATAGTTTCTTTCTCTTAGTTATCTATTAAATACAAAATATGGTTCAATTTAACGTTATTATTTGCGGTGGTGGTCTTGGTGGCATTGCTTGTGCGATTGGCTTGAAAAGAAAAGGCCATAATGTTACTATTTTAGAAGGTGCGTCACAGTTAAACGAGGTTGGTGCTGGTATCCAGATTCCTCCTAACAGTGTAAGAATACTTGAGGAATATGGGATATTAGAGAAATTTTCACCGTATATCACTAAACCAAAGAATATCAATCTTAGAAGGTACTGTACTGGCGATGTTATCAGTCGTACTCCTTTACATCCAGATATGACAGAAACCTATGGTTATCCTTATTTATTAATTCACCGTGCAGACTACATCAGATTACTACATGAAGTCGCTATCGAGATGAATGTCGTCTATAAAACAAACTCCAGGGTCGTATCTGTCGACCAGGAAGCTGTTACTGTTACGATTTCAAACGGTGAAGTTTATTCAGGAGATCTAATTATAGGAGCGGATGGTATACGTTCTATTGTTCGTGATACTGCGGTGGTTACAAGCGAAACTGTTGAACCAACCCCTTCACCCTTTTGTGCTTATCGTGCTACTATTTCAAGGGAGGAGATGTTATCTGATCCAATTATTGCCCACCTCATGCACGACATCAACGCAAACTGTTGGATTGGTTACAGAAGGCACGTTATGTCATATCCAATCAAAGGTGGTGAATTATACAACATGGTTATGTCTCACCCTGGGAAAGCTACCGTTGGAAAATGGAGTGAACCTGGTAGCCTTGAAGAAATGAAGTCTCATTACGATAATTTTGACCCTATTGTCCGTCAGCTTCTTACCCATGTCAGCTCAGTTCTTAAATGGGTCCTTGCCGATTTACCAACACTTCCACGCTGGGTCAGTGATAGTGGAAAGGTTGTTATTATTGGCGATGCTGCTCATGCAATGTTGCCATTTTTGTCTCAAGGTGCTGCTCAGGCTATTGAAGATGGATGTAGATTAGCAGAAGAATTGGGTAATTGCTCTTCTACATCTGATATTCCATCCGCTCTCAGAGGTTTTGAAAGATTAAGAAAGAAGAGAGCCGATACAATTAAGACCGGTGCAGCTAAGAACGCTCTCATCTGGCATTTACCAGATGGTGAAGAACAGGAAGAAAGAGATGCTCTTATGAAGGCCAGAGACGGACGTAACCCAGATCAATGGTCTGATAGTGATTTTCAAAGATGGTTATTTGGCTGGAATGCATTAATCGATTAGTCCTTTTCAACAACCCTTGGTCAGTAGTAGATAGAATTTTTTTTTATCAGCGCTTTAAACATATACTATTATTCTACTTATTTAATTAAAGAAATAATTCGTAGGATAAAAGCCAATGCTTATTTTCGCAACCCTGGTTATTCATAAGATTTGTATGGTCTTGTCTGGCGGCCATTTATTCAAATTCTGCCCTATCAATTAGCCAGAATACGCCTTACCACGGGTCACGTGTACGTTTATGGGAGTACTATTATTGTCATCGCTGATGGTCCAAGAAACAGTTGCGATAATTTGGGGTATCTTGCAATTAGTGTGGAGTAGATTTAAATAAAATTTGAAGCATGAAAGGGGAATACCTTAACTAGTGGAAATGAATTCCGCTGATATACGTGCGGAATTTTCCTTTCAAATGGCAAAAATATAAGAGTGTTATGATCCTAGATTATAATCAAACTTTCGATAACTAACTACAATATGCATCGTGAAACAGAACCATCTTTAATTAGCGACATCGAAAAGCTGAATTTAGAACATGTTGAAAGTATTAATGAACCACAAGTTCTTACTTCTGAACATCATGATTTTCTCATGAAAAGACATGGATCCATTCAGTTGGTTCCACTCCCATCCAGTGATCCTGCTGATCCACTAAACTGGTCAAGTTGGAAGAAAAATTATGAAATTATTTTAATTGCGTTTCAAACGTTTACTAGTACATTTATGTCTTCTGGGCTTGCACCTGCTTATGACTCTATGGCAGAAGAATATGGAGTCCTGCCTCATGAGGCTAGTTATTTGACTTCCGCCCAAATTTGCGTGTTGGGAATTTTTCCCTTATTTTGGGTTCCAATAATGAACACATATGGTAGAAGACCATTTTTGACATTCTCAGTCTTGGTCTGTTGTGCTTTAAATATTGCTGGTGGCTTTTGTACTACCTATGGACAACAAATGGCCACTAGAATTTTATTAGCCTTATTCATTTCAACCGGGGTATCTGCTGGCAGTTCAGTAGTAGCTGATTTATCCTTCAGCCATGAGAGGGGTAAGAAGAATGGTTGGTGGTCCCTAGGGCTTATTATGGGTACTCCAGGGGGGGGATTCTTTATGGGATTTGTTCAATATCACGTTGGAACGAAGTGGATTTTTTTCACATTTGCAATTATGAATTTCATACAATTTATTTTATGGCTACTTGCAGACGAAACGGTATATGCAAGAAATGTTGAAACTACCAATGCAAGACTTAATAAACGAGGGCTAAAGAATTGGTTAGGCTTTTGCAGACAGACAGATAAAGAACTTAATTGGAAAATTTTTATAAGGCCATTGAAACAAGCAGCCAGCTTTAATGTAAGCATGGCAGTCATTGCAGCATCCTTAACATTCTGTTATGCAAATATACTTCTTGTTGTTGAAATGCCACAGACTTTTGGTGTTATGTTTGATCTTAATGCTCAACAATTAAGTTTGCATTATATTGCACTTATAGTTGGGTCAATTATTGGGGAGTTGCTATCTGGTCACGTCTCTGACTGGTGGATGCTGATATGTTATAAGGAAAGAGGTGGAAAAAGGGTGATAGTTGATAGATTATGGGTATCGTATTATGGCTTTTTAGCAGTGATTGTTGGATTGGTAGTCTGGGGTGTTTATTTGAATAAAGTGGAACAAAATCATTGGACCATTTCACCTTTGATAGGAGCTGCTGTTATGGCAGTAGGAAATGACATCGTTGCAACTGTTTTGACTGCCTTTGCTCTCGACTCCCATTCCGAATACGCATCTGATATCGGTTTATACTTGAACTTAGTTCGTCAAATTTACGGTTTCATTGGACCATTCTACCTCACATTAATGATTGAGACACTTTCTTATGCAGGAGCCGCAGGACTAATGATTGGATTAATGGTAGTATTTGGTTTTGGTCCGACTGCTTTGGCTCATTTGATCGGACTTAGGCATATACATACAAAAGCATAGGTTATGTCATAATTTATGTTCTGGTAGTTTATTCATGAATTGATTCTATTTACATAACTGAATGAAATTAATGTAGAACTGATCCTCGACCAATGATCGATATTTTTACTCACCTACAGCAAATTCTGATCAGGTGAGTTGCAGAGTGACTATTAATTACACATCTACCTAGGTCGCTACAAGATATTGTCCCTGAGAAAGATTTTAGCTTCCTTTCAAATTATTGTTTGGAAAGCAATTCAAGTCTGTTATGGAGAAGAATTGAAGTTTTCTACCACAATCATCTAGAGACCATTGGTCAACCTTGACCAAAAAGGAGTAAATGTAATACGTCCTTGATACACAAAGAAAATAGGAATTATTTTTAGTAGTTAAGGTTTTTAGTTCCCTATGTGTAATAAAAGACGTTACGTAAAGTAATATAGTAAGGTAATCATCAGTCCATATGAATAAATAATACCAAAGTAGAGGAATAAATTTCAGCACATTGCATCCCCCGCATTTTCATTTTGCCCCATAAATAATGGCTCAATAGTTAATTCGCGAGAAACTTGGCAATCGTCTTTGGGGCGGGATTTTTAACCGCTCAAATATCTTTGAATAGGTAAACTAAATAGTATCGATTACACTCAGATTTGGATTATTATAAGGGTATTACTCAATATACCACATATTTATATTATACTATCAAGTTTATTATTATAGAAAAAAGGACCTCCAAAAGGACCTTCAGTATCATACATCAAGGAATAAAGAAAATCCGTAGGGACTTCGGATTCGCTGGCAGTGGAATAGCTTTCTTCTGGCTGATGAGCATCACGAGTTTGCTTCGATCGCTTCTGATTAACAGATTTGATTTTATTGTCCATTATTTCTAGAACCTTCAAACAGCAAGCTGCAGACTTTGATTGTGATTCATAGGAAGATAATAATTCAACGACATTAGTCCAAGACAGTTCAAACTTTATTTTATCCAAATCGTCCTGTAGACCAGGTTGAAGTTTTGCAGCCAACAAAATCAATGCTGCTGTGTAGATATAAAAAACGTTATACCAGCTAGCAGGAAGCAAAGTTAAATCAGCCGATCTAAACTTTTTAATCAAATGAATTAACTCCATCGCGCAATTGATACACAATACTGAGATAGATCTCTGGCTGGACACATATAGTTCCATACTGCTTATTCCACTAGTGTAAACTTCATCTCTGTTCATCGGAAATAAGACAGGTCTGTAGAGCATGATCTTCAAATGTAAATACCTGATTTGAAGAACAATACTCTGATGTAGATATGGTGGTTCGTGTAAACAATTCTCAAACTTGATATAGTTTGGAATATTACCTTGAAAAACATAAAGTCGCTTTTGGAAGCTAAATATGCCCACAAATAAATCCATGTACTCGGGAGCGGGATCAGCATAAAAGAATTTTAATATATCGGCCATTATATTATATAATTTCACAGTCTCGGAGAAAAATCTCAAAACCGAAGGTTTCTCTATCGGCGGATAATTTATATTGGTATCATGAACATATTCATCGTCGATATAAACAGGTGGGTTCATTGCCTGATCTTCGACGACCATCAAAGGCCTCCCAAATGTCATAGAAACTATTTTGTCCATCAATAAACATCCATGCCATAATCTTTTCTCAATTTCCTGTTCGATGTAGCTTCTCTGAGGTGATAAACTCTTTTCCATGTGGAGTCCCAAACTTTGAGCAATACGTATTGTCAGCCCAACAATATTCCAACATCCGGCCAGTCGCGTCGTGGCTTGTAAAAACTGTCCTGTTAGTAACAATGCTTGAATTAATAAAAGTGATCCGGCATCCATTAAATGAAACTTCAAAAGTTCTTGTGATCTCTCAAAGTACACATTTGTGGTTTTACTGCTTTCTAAATGTTCTTCCAACGGTGATAAATGATACCCAAAGGCAAATATAATATTTAAAATACAATAGAATAATTCATCTAATTCGCAATTGTTTGTATCGCTTGACCATATTTCTTCATACGCGGACATGAATGTTGGTTTGTGAACAAAGGGGTAAAGTGGATATGTATTTTCGAAGTAAATCTTAACATAACCATCAGCCACACCTCTAGGAGGGACCACTATTCTAGACAAGCTAATAGTAGATCTCTCCTTCTCATGCCTACTCATTTTATATGTAATTGATTTTACTGATTCTGGTTCAAAGTTATCTATTGATTCATGATCAACCGATTCGAAAAGCTCCTTCATAAATGACATAGCAGCCGATCTACCGAAGAAACTTTTATCTCTATTTTTATTTGAAACTGCTCCGGAGCCTGCTCCCATAGCATCTGTTGCCATATCTTCGTCTCTAAAGTTAGCCGTTCCTTCGTTGTTTCGAATAGCAGAATCATTCGAATTCTGCAAGTTTTGATTTAATCCTGGATAGGAACCTGAGGTAGAAGTGTGGGAATGTGAAACGCTTTGAGAACGGGTTGACGAATGGGTGACTAATTCCTTACTATCTGCATTCTCTTTCTGATAACCTTCACTCACAATCGATGGTGACTGAATCATATCGACAGATTTAGGTATATCATTTCGTAATATACCTAGCTTTTCCTCTAAGCTCTTGACATATTCAGCATTCGCATGGGCTCTTGTATATCTCTTACTATAAACACAAGTAGTCTTTCTTTTCAGGCAAATACCACACACGGGTTGAGCTCCATCACATCGTCTTTTCCTCTGACGACAGCCTTCACAGGCTAGAGCAACATTTCGTCTCCTATTCTTCCCATTCGTATGATTATCCTTGTCAGAACTCATATTTATTACACCCTGCTATCGTTAAACGTAATCAATATTATATAGTTTACCTATACAAATATAATTGAGCGGTTAGAAATTCCGCCCCAAAGACGATTCGGTCGTTACACACCAA